GCCCCACCGAGCTGTGCAGAACGTGGAGAATAGAATAATGAGGTGAGGTGGGGCCATCTCATAGCCGCGTCGTAGGGGGCTCCGGGGAGGGTGACGTAGGCACGCCCGTCAGGGAGCGTGCCACGCGCCCGCATGATTACGCGCCACGTGTCCCCTTTGACTTTTCCCTCTGTACGTGACGCGGCACGTCAGCTTCGTTGTGCTTCTCTACTTTCTATTATCGCCACAGAGAGAAAACCAACGAGATGCTTCTCACGCGTGAACTTTTTACCGCGCTTCGACCAAAAACAAAAAAGAAGAGAAAAACTTTTTAACCACACGAAATGCGTTGCACTTTACTGAATTTAATCAACATTAAAAGAATGCCTTAAAAGGTATAGATCAATTGATTTATTTTGCACTTTAAATCACGGCTTAATTCCCTAAGTAACCTCAGGCTTTAAGCCCAATCCTAATTCTATCTCGAACTTTTTTGTTAAAAAAAAATGTTTTTTTTTCTAAGAGAGAAGTCACTAATTTTTACTCTAATCTCAAATCTGCTCTCATTAGCCCTCTATCCAAAAATCACCATTAGTCGTCCCTGATTTTCATATCTTAAAACGGTTTCGTTTTGGAGATAATTTTCTATGTCACCTTATTGATGTTGATTTGTTACTGATGTGGAAATGTCACGTCAAGTTGGAACTAGATCACGAGGGTAGATTTGACAATCGATTGAAAGTAAGTGATTTTTTTTAAACAAAACAAAATTCGGGATGGATTTGGAACTCGAGCTAAAGTTTAGGATTCTTTTTGAGACAAAAAAAATTCAGGGCAAATTTGGTATAGGAACTAAAGTTTTGGGTTTTTTCTGAGACAAAAAAAATTCCGGGATAGAATTGGGACTAAACCTAAAATTGGGGTTTTTTTTAGGGAATTAGGCCTTTAAATCACACACACACACATATATATTGCTATTGCTTATTTATAATTTGGGTAAGGGTTAATAGTACAAAAAACCCCAAACTGACAAACCTGTGACAAATTTACCCTAAATTAATTTTCTGACCACAAAAAATCTTAAACTGGTACATCTGTGACAAATTTACCACAAACTAATTTTTTTACTACAAAAAACCCTAAATTGGTATATTTGTAACAAATTTACCCTTCATTTTTTTCCATTAAATTTGATTATAACACGAAAAACCTCAAACTGATACATCTGTGACAAACGGAGGGTAAAACCCCAAACTGGTACACCCATTAATTTCCACGTGTCATCCAACTCAACAATTTGACAATAAAATTTAACGAAAACTTATGGAGGGTAAATTTGTCGCAGGTGAACCAGTTTGAGATTTTTCGCGGTATTAACCCTTTGGGTAAATAGTTACTCTTTATTCTTTAGCTGGTGAATCAATCAAATGTCACAATCTAATAGGCCCTTGCATTCTTCTTTTTGCTTCTAAGAAATATATAACGATAGATCAGGCCCGGATTAACAATGTTAAGGCAATAAATAAATGCTTCGTGTCAAGAGGAAACAACTAGAAGTGACCAAACCAAACTAAAAGGAATGGGATAAATGTCTGAAAACGCCTCATGAACTTTGCACAGCTGCAAAATCAACTTCCGAAGTATGAAAAGTTGCACATTAGCCCCCCGATCTTTATCTTTACGGGTTACTTGGAACGAAGTTTGAACATCAAGGTCGACAGTCTTTGATGCGTCCCTTTCAATCAGAACTTTGTTGCTGTAGATTTTGGGTTTGTCATAAGACTAGTTGCAGGTGTTTTGCCCGGATTCTTGTTAAGTTTTTTGTTCTTGCCATTGAATGTGCAGGTTCTTGTATATGATGACAGGTTTTCAGCTACGGGATACCAAGTCACATTAACCTGTGGGTGTTTGAGCAAACTTAATAGTGAATTTTGTTAATGGCTCTTTTGCATTACAACTCCAGTTATGGTGTTTAATTCATTCAAATTCGACAGTGACAAAGTTAAAAGAGGACAAAGATGTGTTCAGGGTCGAGATAATTGGATCCGTCAAGAAGTGAAAACAAGGGAGATAGGCTCGCTCAATCATAAATAGAGCGATAAATGGCGATTGGTAGCTAATAAAGGAATAGTAAAAGGTAGTTTGGTCAAGAAAGAAGAGGAGCGAGTCTATTTTTGCCGACGGTCATTTGAATTGAAAAACTAACAAGCGTAACAAAAATAAAAGCTCGAGGGGGAGCATGTAACTTTTCGATTTTCGAAGGTTATTGCGCGACGATGTCTAAGTTTGGGGACCTCTGCCGAGGGCTAGTGACTTCCGCCGGCCATTGGGCGAGGGCCGGGAACCCCTCGTGTTAACAAATTCCATAACTTGAAATTTTTAGCAAATCCAAGTTTGGCCCAAAATCAAACACGAAATGGGCCATTTGAGACCAGCCGGGTCACCCCATGGGCCAACGGACCCGCCAATGGAGTGGCTCATCCTCTAGCAACATGGGTAGCACTTGGTAGCGTTTAGTGTATGCTCTCGACTAACAAAGATCATATTCGTTATTAAACCGGCGCCACTCTCCCCCTTCTTCTCTATCGAGTCGACTGCCATGTCTGCCTGTGCTTTGATGAAGCGAGTCGACGGACCACGGCAGACAGATCCCAAGGGGTACTGCATTATTCACGTTCTTTATTTAGGAAATCCCCCGTAAACATTTATCAAATTATCCCGTTTGGTTCACTCTATCTTATTTTAATGCTCGGATCATATTGCCACGATCTAACACTGGAGCTATCAAATGGCTCGGGCTTATAAGCACTGAGTACGTTGGGAATTATGAGAACCTCATCAAAGTGACCATTTTTTCTTAGGATCTATTTATTTCGTAAAAAATAAAGGGTTAATACCACGAAAAACCCTAAACTGGTACACTTGTGACACATTTACCCCAAACTATTTTTTGACCATAAAAATCCCAAACTGAGTACACCCGTGACAATTTTATCTGAACTATTTTTTGACCACCAAAAACCCCGGTACGACGTGACAATTTTACCTGAACTTACCCAAAAAACTCCAAAGCTGGTACATATGTGACAATTTTACCCTGAATTAAAATTTTAATATTTTTATTTTTATTTTTTTTCGAATTTTTATTTATTTTTTATTCTTTTCTTTTTCTTTTTTTCATTTTCAAACTACGGCCGGTCGTAGGTCGGCGCTGGCTCAGGCATGGGAGGGCGACCCTCGCGGCTCGGGCGAAGGCGCCTCGCCGGATGCGCGAGGCGACCTCGCCCGACGCCGGCGAGGGTCGTTCGGCCGGATGCGGCGGCGACCCTCGCTGCGTCGGCGAGCGCGCCTCGCGAGAGTCGAGCGAGGTCGCCCGGACTGGGCAAGCGAGGGCGGCCCTCGCCCGAGCGCGAGCGAGGTCGCCCTTGCCTTGGGCGAGCGAGGACGGCCCTCGCCCACGCGCCACGAGGCGGCCCTCGCCGACTAGCGAGGCGGCCCTCGCCGACGCAGCGAGGGCGGCCCTCGCCCCGACGGCGAGGGCGACCCGCGCCGATACCGGCAATGGCGACCCTCGCCGGATCTCGACGAGGGCGGCTCTCGCCGACACCGGCAAAGGCGGCCCTCGGCTTCCGCCTCTGGCGGTCGCGGACCGGCGGCCGCCAAAGGTTGAAGGTGAAGGAAAAAAAAAGAAAAGAAAAGAAAAGAAAAAATAAAAAATTCAAAAAATAAAAAATTAGTTCGGGGTAAAATTGAAAATAAATCATTTAAAACATATTTTCCCGAAAAAGGACCGCTTATATCACTTGAAATAATTAATCAATAATTAATATTTTTCATTATCGACAATAATTTATATCTAAATAATTTCGTGAAAAATGAAAAATCTTTTCGTAATATAATCGTCCATTTTTTGGAAAATGTTTTTCAAATCATTCAATTTCCGTGAAACAAATACTCCAACGAGTGAGTATTAGATCTAAGTTTCCACTTGGACATTAAAAGTGTAACTAATTTTACTAGAAAAGCCTCAAATCGTTAAAAGTGTTCTAGCAAATTACCCAAATAATTCTATTATGTTTCTAAACTGGGATTTTATTTTGCTGCAAAATATTGCTTAACCAGTGAGAGCATGCCTAGCAAAAAGATGCACCGACTAATATATGGGAATTAGGTTCCGCTCTAGGCTTGTGTCGGAATGATTCGTTAGTTGTACGTGCCGTGTGAACAGGAGATACGACGGGCCTGACGTTCTTATCATCTTTCCTCTTATGGAGTTGGGAGCAGTTGCGCCAGTCCCCTACAAAAAAAGCCCTAACCCTCTCGTTTTGACCATTCGAGATCGATCTACCGAATCAAAGGATGATATTTTGTACTTGGGGGGGGCATAGCTAAGAGCCAATCTGGAACCACTAAACGGGAGTCGCAGGAAGACAATGAAAGTGGGAAGAACACTGGACTCTCAAGAAAACTCGAGAGAGTGTTCAGGAGCTCGTGAACATGTGTTAATTTCCACCGTGCACGGAGAGAGAGAGAGAGAGAGAGATAGGACCGAAAGAAGAAAGGAGTGGAGCGACGAGAAAAAAATAGGAGAGAAATCTGGTTGGTCAGATCTGTGCGAGGGCAGAACGGAGAAAAGCTGTGCATGGGAAAGGACACGTCCTCAAGTCTCGTGTTGCCTCATGGCATGTGAATCGTTGGGCCACCTGTCAACCCAAAAACCAGGGGCACGTACCCGGTTGTTCGGCCAAAAAGAGATCTAATCTTGAAAGCAGGCTAGGCCTTCTTCCAATGGACGCCCCCCTCTTTTCGCAGAGGTATTCGAATTCCTTTCCCTTCTCCATCCACCACCTGTCCTCGCGCATGGTACTTTCATTTACATCATTTTCCCGAAGAATATCATATACACTGGACACTACGATTGAGTGGGGGCACACTGTACCTGGAACAGATGAATGAACACCCTGATCTCTCTCTCCCTGTCACCGCTAACGTGCATGCACAGTGATCATGGGCACAGAAAATCGTGAAACAGCAGCAGATCGAACATTCAAAGTTGCAAAGCTTGAACATCTTACAAAGTTAAAAAGATAATAATATACTTATATAAGGGCATTCCCGCTCCAAATCGGCTTCTCAGGAAAAGGCCAGATAACCAGGAACCGTGACGACAAAAGCTGAGAAACAGCAAACCGAGAGTTGCAAAAGATATTCACATGCACAGCTTGGACAGCTTAGGTTAAGGTTAAAAAAAGCTTCTTCCCATGGAGGTTTTTGAAGAGTTTTTGGGGTTGAGACTTCTTGGTTATTATCTCATCGGAACCTGAGCATGAGCCTGAGCCTGATCACCTTTTCATTATCATCGTCCCAAGCGCAGCGCGGCCTCCACGTCCAACCTCCATGCAAACCCTCCGCCGTCCATCCTCCACACGTCGCAGGGCAGCGTCACCGCCCTCCTCTCCCTCTCGCACGCGTACTCCATCCTTACCCTACACGTGAACGCCCCCCACATCATCCTTTCCGCCCTTACCCCCACCTCCTCCCTCGCCGCCAGCCACACCCCGCAACCCTCCTCCTCCTCCTGCTCCTCCTCCCGCCCCACCATCTTCCTCAGCGCCGCGTTCGTCCACGTCACCCTCCCCAGGCCGTCCGATGTGAACCCGGGGCACGTGTCCCGCTCCAGATTCCTCCTCCTCTCGTCGTCGGTGCGCCCTAACGCCTCCCCGTCCACCCACGTGTCCGTCACGCACTCCACGGTCACGCACGGGGACGGTCTGCCCAAAGGCCGCAACAGCGGCGGCGCCGCCGTCGTGATCGTCGGGCCAAAATGGCCTCCGTTCGCCGGATTTGGGGTCTTATCGTCGAACCTAAGCCACTTCGGTACGTTCTGCATTTGCCTTTTGGCCGTGTCCCCGAAGAAGTCCGGATCCATGGCACATCTGTAACAATCAGCAGCTTGCATCAGGCCCGCCTTCGCGTTCCCGAGATCGCCACCGACTTTGTGCTCGGGCATCTCCGGCAGCAGCGGCAGAGTCACCTTCTCCCCGGGCGGCGACGCATCTCCGACCTTCTCTTTGCTGCAAACCCTTCTCTTCCTGCTGGAGCGCTTGGCGACGTTGCTGCCGCTCCTCACTTGCCGTCTCCTGCCTCGGCCGGCCCGCACGCGAGTGTCTTTGCCCTCCGGCGAAGATGCGCCGGAGGAGGAGCCCCCGCACGTCGGCTTGGGCGCGATGGGGCGGAACCTGAGCATTATGCGGTCCACCTTGGACATATCGTACAGACCACCGCCGCCGCCGCCCCCGCCCCCGTATCTGGCTATGCAACACCCGCCTCTCCCGTCCATCGATCTCCACAGTTCTCTCTCTCTTACGGTCTATTCCGGGTGCGTGTTTGTGAGTGTGACAGATCCTACCTCATTTTGAAGAGGAGTTCACCCTGAAGACGAAGAAGATGGAAAGGCAAAGGCAGTAAATGCAGAAGCGGGGGACAGGTGCCCATTTATAAGGACTGTAGTTGGGGACACGTGTGAGGCAGGACACGTGTGCGCGGACCGACTCAAACTCAAACGGCAGTAGCGGCAAGTAGCAGTAGCAGCAGAGCAGGGCTGCGGCTGGGCATTGGGTGGGGACGCGAAACGTGGCGGGGCCGAGTGAGGTGGGGCCCGCGTGGAGCTACGCTGCCCGGGGGAACGTTAGGCTAAATAGTATATAGCGCGACGCTAAGCTAAACCATACTACGATAAGACTATCGAGTCGATATACTAATCATACTTCCTAACTCTATTACAGAAATCATCTGTAATGAGGAAAATATATAGGTTCGTACCGTGCCTATCCTAATTTTGGATTTAATTTATGTTCAATCAATATAGGCGATATAGAATGTGATCGATACGAGCAAGACATGCCGCAAAAGAAGAACGTACGAGGGATTTTATATATATATTTATTTTTTCGTATATCATGCATTCTCGAGACGAGGAAATTGACAATAGTAACGGTGACCCGGTAAAATGCTTTGGAGATCTTTCGGAAACGGGGGGACACAGGGTGGGGCCCACCGGGAGGGGAGGGGAAGGCCAATGGGAGGGCGAGAAGTGTCGAGATAAAAAAAATGCAAGGGAAGATGGGGCCCGCGCAGGTAGGTAAGTGGTGGTGGTGGTGGTGGTGGAGGTCGTGTCTCGAGCGGGGGCGTGCGGGGGTTCTAGAAAGGGGACACGTGGCCCAACCCGAATTTGGATAGAGTCTGGAAAGGAAAGGACGACCCCCCGGTGGCCCCCTTGTCTCGTCTTTTGCGGGGAGGGGCGCTGGGGGGCTTCCATAATTAGCCGGGACAGGATGGCGCCACGTGGACGGCCGGAAAGCGACAGAGGTTTTGGTCTTGGGGTTTCATTTCCCCCCCCCCCCCTGACGTGTTGGGGGGGTTTCCTGCCGTTTGTCTCCGTCCGCGATTGGAGGTCGGAAGGGGGGGGGGGGCCCACTCCCGTCGTGCCCATTTTGCCCCTCCCTGTTTTTGCGTATTTTCCTTTTTTTTTTTTTTAACTTTAGAAAAAAAACCACGTAAAACTCCAATCTATACCTATTGTGACACATTCACAACAAACTATTTTTTTATAATACGAAAAACCTCAAACTGTACACGTTATTGACACATCTATCCTCCTTCAAAATCACCGTTAATCCCACGTGGCACTTTTAGAGAGACGTGGCTGTGATGTGGCGCCACGCGAGGGCCACATTGGAAAAAGAAAAAAAAATGATTTAAAAAAATCACTGTTCATTATCTTCTCCATAGCTTCGCGGGTGCTGTTCATGGCGTTCTTCGTCTTCAATCGATTGGCCAAACTCTTCCGACGCTCTTGCTTTGCTGGCCACTGCTACCTAGACCTCCGGCGTCTCTTGTCGGCGCTTGCCCGACCATCCACCAACTTCGAAGATCGAGGTTCAAGCCAAGCTTTGAAGCTCGTGGCTGCCATCTTCAAGCTCGAGCAGTCATGGCAGCCGCGAGCTTTGAAGCTTGGCCTTGGCCGCTTGCGACCACCCGAGAGCTTCGAAGGTCGAGGCCAAGCCTCAAGTCAAGCTTCGAGCTAGAGCGGTCATGGCGGCCGCGAGCTTTGAAGCTTGTCCATGGCGGCTTTGCGACCACCCATGAGCTTCGAAGCTCGACCTTCAAGCTATTTCGAAGCTTGGGCTTGGTAACTTGCGACTACCCACGAGTTTCGTAGGTCGAGGTCAGACCCTCAAGCCAAGTTTCAAGCTAGAGCGTTCATGGCGGTTGTGAGCTTCGAAGCTTGGCCATAGCGGCCACCACCCGTGAGCTTCGAGCTTGAGTGGCCATGGTGGCCTATCAAGCTCGACTTTCTTGAAACTTTGTTTTTGTACCGTTCTTCCTCGTAGAGAAGACGATGAACAGTATTTTTTTTTTCCCTTTTTCCAATGTCAAGATTCGAAGCTCGCGGCTGCCATGGCCCCTCGAGCTCGAAGCTTGGCCTTGAACCTCTATCTTCAAAGCTGGTGGAGCGCTAACGAGAGCCACAGAAGGAGTTTGGCCAACCGATTAAAGACGAAGAACGCCATGAACAGTACTCATGAAGCTGTGGAGAAAATGATGAACAGTGAATTTTTTTATTTTTTCAATGCGGCGCTCGCGTGACATCGTATCAGAGCCACGTGTTTTTAAAAGTGCCATGTGAATCCACGTTAGCTTTTTAACGGTGATTTTGGAGGCAATTGCAACTGAGGGTAGATGTGTTACAATATATATAGTTTGAAATTTTGGGTATCATAAATTTTTTTTTGGATAAATATATCATAATGAGTATAGTTTAAAATTTTTGGTGATTTTTTTCCTTGACTTTAATATTATTGCGTATTTTAAGGAGCATGTCGTATATACACCTGCTTTTTGGCACGGCTTTGGAAAGGAATCCTTGGGCATCTAAAATCCCTTTGTTGGCTTTCGACGTTTTCGGAAAGTCTCCTTTCGGCGTAAATGATTTTTTTTTAGTTCTATTTTTGCCTTTAGAAACTTATTTAGATTCCACTTTTATTTTCAAATGACCTTGCAGTTCCAATTCTCCCTCGCTGAATCCAAATTTCATTACTAGATCTAGATTCGACCACGAGCCCGAGGCCCTGCCAATGGTCACGCTCGGCAAGCCGATGGTCACCAAGCGTTTGGGCTCATGCATCTAGGTCGACAAAAGTATGGGTTCACGCGGGTCTGGATCGTCTAGGTCGCACGATTGTCGACATAGCCTCGAACAAACGGACCTTAAGTAAGAGATCTTTGGGAAATAATTTTGTATTTCCCCAACTCTCTCCGAAATGCACCCTTAATTTCCATTTAGTTGGACTTAAGGCTTTAGCTACTAGGGTTGATTGATTTCAAGGTGGGTGGCTCGTTTTTCACCCTCGAATCGGGAATCGATTCACCTGGGAATTGATCCAGTTGGGAACCAGACCGAAGTTCGGTTCCATGAGTGTCTAGGACCGGCCGTATCCTAGGAAATATTTCGACACAAAAAAAATGGCCAAAGAAAGAAAGGAGTTTCAACTAAACTCCTAATCATGGACTTTCGGAAGAAAGAAAGTCGCGACTCATCAACTGACACGAGCTTGTGATGAAATCAACGAGTCTATAGATGAAGCGAGTGCACAATCGCCCTGGGCAAGCTTTTCCTTGCAGCAAAAACTCATAAATTTAGCTCAATTGACAAGGACATGCCAAAGCCCTAATCCATTATCGTACGTACTAGGTAGGCCTACGCAGAGAGAGAGAGAGAGACAGAGAGAGACTTGCTTGAATTGAGAAGAGGCGTGACTGACAGTCAGCGTCGTGAGCGAGAGAGACGTGTCTTAGTGACAGAGTGGGGGCAATTAGGGTTTTCAGCGTGAGAGAGTGAAGAATGGGCAGTACTTAGGGTTAATAAAAAAAATTGGTCCGGTTCGAATGGCCTGGGTGAGTCAATACACACGTAAAATTGGAAATCAGATCGATATTTACCGATTTCAAATTTCAAAAATCGGGAACCACCCAAAAGCGGTTGGTTCGATTTGATTCGATTTTCGATTTAGTTCAGTTTTTTTCCCACCCCTTAATTAGTTATCCTTTCAAGTGAAGGAATAGTATTTCAAATTGCGCACTATTCAGCTTCTGTTTCTTTGAGGCGAAAAATGGGGACAAATTAGGGAATCTCCTTTTCCTAATTTGTCATCGCCCAATAGCAATCAAGACTATAAACTATAATTCTATGCTCATTTATCAGCAATGAGAATGAAAGGACATGACTTTGCATCCACTATTAAGCTTCATTAGAATAATTGAGTTCTTTGTTCATTAATTGACCTCTCTCCTGTTAGCTCTTTGAACTTTCTTAATCCACATGCAAACGGAGCTTTCTTTGGACCGCATGTGATTGCTGTTGCTATTCAATTTCTCATCTTTATATGCTAAGATACATCTGAATAAAAGTTGTGCAAATCCCGATCAGCATCTATACTTAATTTCTGGTGCTCTCAATTTAACTCGACCTACGTCACGTATTGAGGCTTGTCCCGCAATCCTTATCCTTTCCAATTTAACTCTCTCTCTGTATACATATCTCACAAAGGGATCAATCTTTGTTACTCTTACGCTATGAAAAGTTAACATGGTATCCAAAACTTGAAATTCCCGGCGGTGATCACTTGTCATAGTTACTAGATGGCATTCGTGCCATCATTTAGTATCCCATATGAGGGCAAAAGCGATTAAAGCGGGGATGACGGCGTTAGTTATTTCAACATGCTTGTAATTCGTTTCAATTTGCGTCATCAATGAAATGCCGTAAATCCTACTTTACAAGTCAGAAATTTAATAATTCATTTCGTATAAAAGGGTGGGCTCTCAATGCGTTTCTCATGTGCATTCCTGGTTTCGCCATGTGCGCGGGCAATCAGGACTCCTAGGAGGAGTCAGCTGGATTTTTCCCTGGTTCATCACCCTCTTCAACCGAAAAGTAGGATTCCTTCATTGTACTACAAAGCTTGGCCAAAGTGGATGGACCGGTCACGTCCATCATCCTTATCATATACAGAATTTGTGGAAATCTATCTTTGACAGACATGCGTGATCTAGATAAAAGACATTGAACATGCTGCAGCGGTTTGCATCCACTGGACAAGCAAGAAAAATCCAATCTTGACAACCTGCATATGTTTCACACCTCACATAAACCCATTGCAGTTCCAAAAGAGCTTCGTTTCTACTTATTTACTACACTTTTGTTCATGGATTTGAACAATTTTGGAAAATGACAACTTTCTTAGGACCGCCGTTAAAAGCCGTTTTAATAGAGTAATATTCTGTTATATTGAGGACATCGGGACTACCTTGATCTGACAAGTATCGGTCAAAAGCAGACATTCAAAAGTTACGAAACAGATAAAAGAAGATAAGGTACGAACTTATAGGCATGTCTAAATCGTTCTTAAGTCCATTAA